TGTATTATGTAAGTTTTATACAAAATTTATCTTGCGTCATTTGTCGAGACGGGAATGTGCTTGTGTGCCACTTTCGCATCAGTAGTTCATCGCCTAAGTGCTGAAACATAATGCTCTCTTGCAACAACCGTAGGAACAATTTACACAGTGACTCTATCTCTTTCTGCAACTGCCTCCCTCGACAAATATTGGGGTTGCAATAAAAAATCTGCAGCAAGCCCTTCTCTAATTGCTAGACGACAGTTATCCAATGCATATCTTTAATGTTAACAATGCAGTATACTCTTTTCACATTTGCCTAACTCTTGCCATATTAGGGTCTTTCCCCCCTCACATACTGATCATCCTCTCATCAAACCGATAGCCAGCAAAGATACCGTCATACTCATTTGTAGCCATTCTTTTCCACTTGCCTCCCCTTGTGACTCCTCCATCATTGGCCTTTTTCATTAACTTCTCATGTATGCTTACTAGGCTTTGGCCAAATGACACATCGGTTATGGCATAATGCAGATAAAAATTGTCACCCTCAATGCTCTGTCGCAACGTCATAAGTGTCAAAACCTCATCAATGTGCTGCATAAAAAAAAAAACAACATGATAAGTGTCATAGAATCAAAACAGATCGCTTAAGCAATCTGTAAACAAAACAGATCGCTTAAGCGATCACACGATACAAAACATAAGCAAAAATAAGGCAAAATAAGGGAAAATAACTCACCGAGTCTTCAACCCAGTGACCCATTGTTAAAATTTGATCAAACCACTTCTGAGATAATCCCCGATCTTACACTTCACAACCACATCGCTTTGTTCATAATTTTAATAGGCATAAAAGGATTTTTACCCTTCCTCATCTACTGCCCTAAACAAATCAAGCTTTAATTGCTTCACTACCTCACTTCCTCCTTGTTCCTCCGTATCAGCTTGCTTCACTTCCCCACTTCCTCCTTGTTCCTCCTTGTTCCTTCGTATCAACCGGTTTAGCTTCCCCACTTCCTCATTTTCTTTCGCAACTCTCCTGTTCTTTTCATACCTTAATTACATGAAAAGGGATGTCACATGCTTGCTTTTTCGAGTCTCTCTTTTCTTAGGTTGAACTTCCTCCATTTCCAACAGCACATCAACCTTCTCATCCACCCTTTGCACCCTTTCTTCCAATTTATCTACCTTCTCATAGACAGTGCTGCTCAACATGTCAAACTTGTTGCTTAACAAGTTAAACTTGTTGTGTAGACCGTTTATGAGGTCAACCAACTTAGATTTAGGATGCGTAGGCGAACCGGTACTTGGTGGCAAACCAATACTTGGTGTACCGGTCTGTCAATTAGAAGGAGGAGTACGAACAGGAGCCTCCATGTCTTCGTCCTCATCCATCCCGCCTACTTGGCCTTCGGCCTTAGTCACATGCTCAACAAACGACCCTTCCACTGCAATCAAATGTGTGACTCCTTCTAAGTCTCGCATTAGGCGGTCTATCTTCTCATCAAAAACATCGTCCAACGGTTTGAACGATGTAACATAATTCATCACCAATTCAGCCCTAGTAGGAGTGATGAACGGATGGACCACTCTTTGCAAAAATTAAAAAAAAAATCAATTAAATTTACAAAAACCATTTAATCTATTATATATTCAAAACACAAATCCTTTAATCTTACCGGAACCAGTTTAATTTCCATTTCAATTTTCTCATAGTCCTAATGGACGCTCTTTTCAATGCGCCACTGCAACATCCTAGGAAACTGTAGTGCCTCATCCGAACTCCCCATCCCCCCCCCCCCCCCCCCCCAAGCCAAGACAGGGACGACCTCATATATCCAAGCCTACATTGTAAAAAATAGTTCATATCGAATTAAAACACATATAATACAAAGAAATTAACTAAAACCTATTAATATTTACCTGCATTGCCCAAGGCAAGCCAAGCAAATTGTATGAGTTGGGTTTCCGCTTCTCGGCATATTGGCGATATTTAATCACCATGTCTTTTCCTTGTAGGGAATCGATGGTTAACTTAAATGACAACCTTCCCCACGGATAAGAATAAAAGAAGTCCTCATTACTTGCATATCGCTCCCAATCCTGGTTTATGACTTTCGTTGAGTCATAAGCCATCAAGACTGAATGCACGAACCATACCAAGCACATTTGGAACTTCTTTGAAGAGTTATATTGATTTTCTTCCGCTTCTAACCTCTCCTTTAAATCATGACCCGTAATTGACTATTGCCCTACGAACACCTTTCTAACAAATGTTTCAGTAGCCTTGCTATTCTTTACCCTTTCTTTAACTTCTACGTCTAGAAATGGCCCACAATTTAGGCCCGAATTCCATCATCCCAAACCGAATCGACTTTCCATCAACCAAAAACCACATTTCATTCTTCTTTTTGCATTTAACAACGTGCACCAAAAGATATGTGCACCCTATCCCCAGAAGGCCTTACTCCAATTATCTCCCAACCCCACAAAATGACCAAAACATGAGTTTCTAAATCGCTTCATCCCTTTCTGGTGCCTACCTAGAATGTCCTTAATTTTCTTAAACACTTGCCAACTAGACCTAACGGTAACCCTTGCCGGGAAGTATGGCACAACATCATTTACAACCTCAAGCCCATAATCCTTATAATTTATGCTCTTATAACATTGCACAATCGATATACACTACATATCAGCACAACAAAAAACCAAAACAAGCAACATGTTGGAGTGCATTGGGGGAGTGGCTATTTTTGGCTTCCAGAGGTCTGTGAAGACAAGGGAGGCTGCTGTTGCAGGTTCGGTGCTCTGGACTTCGGAGAAGAGAGCTGCATAATGGGGGCTCGGGGCTTGCCTGTATATTATAGGGCTAGCTGCTTGTATTGCAGGGCAGCCCCCTAGCCCCCCATATTCCGCTCTCTTTGCCAACAAAAGCCATCCAAACTGCCACAAACAACCTCCCTAGGGCCTCCATTGGCTTCCCTAGTCCTCTGGAAGACCAAAACACCCACTTCTCCAATGCCCTCCAATTGTTCGACAAAATGCAACAATAACCTTAACAACACACCAACCAAATATCCCCTAAAACAACCAATAATTTCATAAAATATATATATTATTACCTTTACTTCATCTTCTTCCTCCTTCTCACCTGACGTTGCGCCGACATCCTCCTCTTCATTTTTAATTTCGTCTCCTGCCCTCCCTTGTTCACCTAGTGGGCTGTCTTTTACCAGCGTCGTATCGTCTACTATTGGACCAACTTCAATCATCAGAATTTGCTCCACCGCAACCTTCGATTCTCCAATTTTCGAACCACTCGCGTCCACGATTTGAAGAGGGGCTAGCTCTTTGTCAAAATCTTTGTTTAGGTTAGCCATTGTTTCTTTTTAAGTAAGAGGGAATGTCTTCAATACAAACAGTAAACGATTGCGACAATGGGTGGTGGAAAACGACAAGAAAAACGCGGTGAAGGGTGGCTATTTCGTCAAGGTTTTTTTAGGGTTGATTAAGCGATTGAGTCCACTTAATCGATTTTGATTGGAGAAGGGGGGTCGTTTGCAATTTTCACAATTTAAACAAACTTTCGTTAATTATAATATTACCCAAATATGTTTAAATCTTTTCAGTTTAACCCGTTTTACATGTTTAATGAATCCTAAGTGTGCCACGTCAGTTTTTTTTAACTTAAAAAAAATTGCAAAATTTTTTCAAGGTTATTTTTTTAAATGCAAACTTGGGATGTCCAAGGAGTTAAATTTCCTCCCTTTCTTCTCTTCTCTTCTTCTTCTTCTCCACACAAAACCTCTCTCTGTTCCCTTTGTCTTTGAACAAAACAAGCCAAGTTCTCTCATCTCTTCTCTTATCTTCTTCTTCCCTCCACAAAACCCTAGCCAAGAGAAACGAAGAACACCCTATTGTAGATCTCTTTTCTTCTCTTATCTTCTTCTTCTCCTTCTCCTTTTTCGCATTTATTAAAGGAGGATTTGTGCCAAATTTTAAAAAATAGTAGGAAGAATTTGAACTTCTGGCCAAATTGATTTTTTTATGCTTTATTGATTTTTTGTATGAATAATGAAGATTTTTATGCCAAATTGATTTTTTTTTATGAATAATGAAGATTTGGGTTTCTATTAATATTAATGTTAAATGGTGTAATTTGTTGGATATGGAAATTTTTATTTTTATTTTTTTGTGTTGTGTTCAATATTGATGAGAAGAAAATGGAAGGGAAAAAATAAAGTTATTTTTATTTAAAAAAAATTGGTTTTTGTGTTGTGTTCAGTATAGGTGAAAAGAAAATGAATTTAAAAATAAAGTTTTTTTTATTAAGAAATAAAAGTTATTTATTGTGAATTAATTTTAATAATAAGGTAAGACATCAATTAAATTTAATTGTGAATAAAACAAACAAAACAAGATAATTTCTAAAGAAATCAGGTCAAACTTTAATTGACTTATAAAAATGTTACAATGGTCCCCATATTTTTTTAGCATTTCAATTAGTCCCAGTTCTAGGGTTTGGTTCCAGTTCTTGAGGTGGTGGAATTGGAATCGGACTTGTATAGTACTGGTTCTTGATTTCTAGAATCGGAATCTACCCTATGAGAGTCGATTTGGGATAAGATTCAGAACTGAACACCGAATACCCTCCGATTTTAGCTCTAATCGATTCTTTTGCACACCCATAATACAAAGTGATGTACTATACTATAATTAGGAGAGTGAACATATAAAGTCAATTTTTTAACTAAAATAAAATTCATTATCTCAATCATGGTATGATATATCACTTTGTATGTGTAATTTTTTACCGAGTATTACTCTTGTGGAGCATATGTATCTGGATGCTAAGAAACTAAGCCTAAGCCGGGTCTGGGTCTAGACGGTAGACCCCCTTCTTGCTAAGCCTGTCCGTCAGTGTACGACGTGTGGCCAACTGGCCATTACTCCTTTATCACTAATAAATAATATTAAATAATTCATTTTGCTAAAGCTTACGAATTATAGTGAAAATGGGATGGTGGGCGTTAGCTTCTGCTACACCTCCTTCTTGCTTTTCTAGTTCTTATAGATTTTCTTCATCGTTTCCAAATGCTAAGACTAGAACTCATGCTGTCCAGTTTTCGCCTTCTTATAGAACCATTTTGTCCAAGAAGAAAAGGTTTATTATCACCAATTGCACAACAAGTAATAAAAAAGGGGAACTTGAATCTTCTTCCGATGTTGATTGTGTGGGAACAGGCACAGACGTGGAGTGCGTAGTCTCTTCAGTAAGCGAAGAAAAAATAAAAGAAAAAGACATTGACTTAGTTATGTTGGTGTGGGAATGGACAGTTTTGGTTTCACCATTTTTCTTCTGGGGAACAGCAATGGTTGCAATGAAGGAGGTGTTACCGAAGGCTGGCACTTTCTTTGTGGCTGCATTTCGACTAATTCCTGCTGGATTACTTTTGATTACTTTTGCGAGCTCCCAACGTAGGAGCCTTCCCTCTGGACTCAAGGCTTGGTTTTCAATTGTTCTCTTTGCTCTAGTTGATGCTTTCTGTTTTCAGGTCTTACACTTCACTCTTTCTTTCATTTTCTTTAATATCCTTTTAATTAATTAATTAATTAATTGTTATTACCATGAAATAGGGATTTCTTGCTCAAGGATTACAGAGAACTTCTGCCGGTTTGGGTAGCGTAAGTACACGATTGTTTCCGTGTAAGTTCGTAAAAAAAATTATGAAACCATGTTTCTGTTAGAATTATGTGCTCTCAAAAACCAATTAGAGATACGTGGATTGCTANACCGAGTATTACTCTTGTGGAGCATATGTATCTGGATGCTAAGAAACTAAGCCTAAGCCGGGTCTGGGTCTAGACGGTAGACCCCCTTCTTGCTAAGCCTGTCCGTCAGTGTACGACGTGTGGCCAACTGGCCATTACTCCTTTATCACTAATAAATAATATTAAATAATTCATTTTGCTAAAGCTTACGAATTATAGTGAAAATGGGATGGTGGGCGTTAGCTTCTGCTACACCTCCTTCTTGCTTTTCTAGTTCTTATAGATTTTCTTCATCGTTTCCAAATGCTAAGACTAGAACTCATGCTGTCCAGTTTTCGCCTTCTTATAGAACCATTTTGTCCAAGAAGAAAAGGTTTATTATCACCAATTGCACAACAAGTAATAAAAAAGGGGAACTTGAATCTTCTTCCGATGTTGATTGTGTGGGAACAGGCACAGACGTGGAGTGCGTAGTCTCTTCAGTAAGCGAAGAAAAAATAAAAGAAAAAGACATTGACTTAGTTATGTTGGTGTGGGAATGGACAGTTTTGGTTTCACCATTTTTCTTCTGGGGAACAGCAATGGTTGCAATGAAGGAGGTGTTACCGAAGGCTGGCACTTTCTTTGTGGCTGCATTTCGACTAATTCCTGCTGGATTACTTTTGATTACTTTTGCGAGCTCCCAACGTAGGAGCCTTCCCTCTGGACTCAAGGCTTGGTTTTCAATTGTTCTCTTTGCTCTAGTTGATGCTTTCTGTTTTCAGGTCTTACACTTCACTCTTTCTTTCATTTTCTTTAATATCCTTTTAATTAATTAATTAATTAATTGTTATTACCATGAAATAGGGATTTCTTGCTCAAGGATTACAGAGAACTTCTGCCGGTTTGGGTAGCGTAAGTACACGATTGTTTCCGTGTAAGTTCGTAAAAAAAATTATGAAACCATGTTTCTGTTAGAATTATGTGCTCTCAAAAACCAATTATAGATACGTGGATTGCTAAGTGAGGTCAGATTTTTAATTACTATTTAAAATTCATAATTGTTTTATCATATGTTAGATTTTGGGTTTTTCATTAGAATTAGTTTACGAAAAGTACTGATCTTTTTTTCTAGTTCTATCAGTTTCTTTATTTTCAATGGTTTTTGCAAATTTTAAATAAATTGAGATTTCAGTAACGAGATGTAAAATTCAAATTTTGCCTTCCTTTCTTGTCAGGTGATAATTGACTCACAACCGTTATCAGTTGCTGTGCTTGCATCTTTGTTTTTTGGTGAGTCCATTGGATTGGTTGGAGCTGCAGGCCTTGCTGTTGGTGTCATTGGACTTTTGCTTCTTGAGGTGAACACTAGATTTCCTTCTCAATTTGCATTACTTGTATTCAGCTTCACTAATAACATATCTTGTATTGTGGTACCAACTCTCTGCTTTTAGTTTTATTTCTTAGAGCTTGATATCTATTTTGTGAAACTGAAAAATTCTTATGTACATGGTTGATTTAGTGTAAGAAAAATGATGGATTCACAAATTTGTTGAGAGAATACCCAGAATTAATAAATGTTGTATTTTCTACCAATTAATAGGAATTTAGATGCATAATTTTTGTGGAAGACCTAAAACCTTAGCTTATCTAGCATAAATTTTGGCCTTAAAATTAATTCATTAGTGCTGCATCACATAATATAGACTTGAGTTGGGGCAATTGTGCCCACTCAAATCTTAACTGAGACAAGTAATCTACAAAAAGATCTTTTGTGACTTTTGAATTGACCTATAAATACTTTGAGAAAACCTCTTTGATTGAGATATTAAATACTTAAAGTAAACTGATAGACATGTTATACAATGAAGGAGCTGGATGCTTTGAAAGTAGACATCGGAATATGATAACAAAATTAGAAAATAAGCTAGGTGGGCAAGAGAGAACTTATGAATCTGCTAGTTTTGCTTTTCAAATTTTTGTCAGTAGATATGAACACTAATTGAGCAGTTGAAGATAAGAAGTCTACTATTGAATTTTCTTAAATTGGATTTAAATTGTTTGTATAGTTGATAGAATTAGCTGGATCTTACTTTAACTGCTCACTTCTCTCTCTCCCTTTTTCTTCTCTCTTTCTAAATCCATCTTTGTGTATTAAACGAGCAGCCTGGCTTGATTTTATTAATATGCAGCAGATGGTACATATGGTAATTTGGAAAGCAAAAAATTCTGAAACTGAATAAGAAAAAAAAAAAAAAAAAAAATTAGATATTATATTTTCACTTAAAACCACTTAATACGATATTGTTGTAGTATAGTGGTTAAATATTTGGTGCTCTTGCATTTCTGGTCACTCATGGTGTTATCCAACCCAAAAGACTAGTCATGTTAGGTGAAGTGGCAAGTCGTCATTATAAAAAGCAAGAACCCTCTTTGACCGCCCAATGTGAGACTTTCAGGACCCAGAAAGAAAATTGGAAAAAAAATTAAGACGTTGCAGACTGAACATGTGTAGCGAAGTGGAGAACTAGAATGTTTCTGAAAGAGGAATGTCTAATCATGCTGGTTCAATGAGTTCATTTTAATTGCTTGTGTAATTTGTGATATATAATATACAAGTCCCTCATTGTTGATGTGTGGCTGCCTAATAAATTGTTAACATCATTGATTCTGTGGTATGGTCTTATTGAAATGGTCAAGAGAAGGACATACTTGAAGAACAGATGAGGTGACTATCATTGGATACTTGATATGCAAATTTGATATTTCTGTAAATGAACACTTGCACTGCTCAGCCAAGTGACTATTAGTAAAACAAAATCTACAAAATCCCTCCAATTTTAATTTTTTTTTTTTTTTTTTAAGAAAAAAAAGAGATTAAAGGAAAAAAAGAAGACAAATTTGGCAACAAATTGTCTAATTTTAACCTGTAGGTGGAAATTTTATCTATTTTTCTAGATACTTTGAAACCTTAGTTTGTTTACTGTAAATATATGGATGTACAATCAATTTTTTTGGAGTGGTGTACTATATGGGTCTGATGATCATCCAAATTTGATTTTTGCTTTTGTCAGTCTTTTAAATGGTGTGCTATTGTGGGAGTAATATGGCTCATTATTGGGAAAAGGGTTGTCATAGGTGAGGTAGCCAAGAGCGAGTTTTGAAATTCATATTACACGGAGATGACATTTTTCTAATGTAATATATGGAATATATGACACATAATGTGTCTGAACAATCACTGGAAAATTGTGTTTGCTCATTTGGATAAGTGATGAACTAGTTTTTCATGTGGCCATAGTTGCTGCTCCAACCAAAAGGGAAGTCATGATTCCTATCGAGTTCCAGGATTCCTGTTGCTCTTCCTCACTATCCTTACTGCAATTCTATCTAGATTAACCTAGGAAGAATTAGTGAACTTGCAAAACCTTTTTATAATTGAAAGACTGGTGTGATTATTTTTTATTTTTTTAAATCCAGAAAAATCTAGTTTCAAGATTGATTTTTTATAAAAGACTATGAGAGAAAATATTAGAAATACGAAGGATATGTATGCTTCAAGCCACTCAGAAAAATTATCATGAAAAAAACAAGAATATTTTTTGAACACATGTTAAATTATTGTTGAATAGATGGCAAAACCTTCACAATTTCTATGCAGGATTTGCTGGTGAGAAAAGAGAAATTGCCTCACACTTAAATTAGGAAGCTAGGTTTTTGGTTTATGTCAATTAAAGGCACTATTTTTTGAGCTTTAAGCTGCCCATAAAGATGGTGAGGCCAGTGTGCACTAGCCCCACTGGTTAGCCAAGATATTTAGAAAGCATGATCTGAATATTGTCCATTTCTGGGAACAAGGACCTTCCTCTTATTGAGAAGAGGATAATGACTTGTACTTCTTGGTCCTAATCACATGAGTCTCTCTTTTTCCTACTTCGTCTTGTTCCTAATCTCATAAGTGTCTCTCTCTTATATGTTGGTTTCCGGGATCATTGTGGTTTCTCTAAAATTTATTATGTTTCAATATGGTGCAAAAGACCACAAGGTTATTGGGCACATAGCTGTGCAACAATTTTAACACCATATTTTCTGTTGCCAACAAATTTAATTGGTGTACGGGATTGTTGTTTTATTTCTTATGCTTGCATCCCAAAAGTGTACGGCAAAATGTTTTTAAAATTGATAATCTTTTGAGCTGTTTGTTTAATTATAAGTTTTATAAATGATTTTGAAAAGTATTTTGGAATAACTTTTGATAAACATATTTTAAAGCTAATTATGTAAATTCATAATTACAAAAATACTTTCATGAAATAATTTGAATTACAAAATGTTATTTTTTTAATTATTTAATATATTTTTTTAAAAATAAAAAGCATAAATATTTTGCTGAACAGACATGGTGCTGCTGCTACTCAGACAACAGTGTGTCTGGCATAGGTTGCATGTTTGGCAGTAGGATGTGAATAAGGTTCAGCTGAATATCTTTCTGCCTCATGTAGCCAAACACAAAATCCTACATCGTCAATTCCACCTCAGGTAGACAGATTGGCTTCCTCCGATTATTTCTATGCTGATGGTGTTGCTTGATGCACATTGACATCTAGCTGCGGACTAGCAACTGTTGAGGACAATTTTTTTTTTTTCCTTTGTTTTTACTAATACTATCTTTTTTAATTTCCATAATATTTATTAAATACTTATTGAAATATATTATTATTTTATTCTAAATATATTTAAGAAACTAAAAAATAATTTTAATGATTATACATTAAAATAATTGTTGAATATTAAATTTATCAAACACTTATTAGCCTTTTCAAAGCCCATCAATTCTGTAAGTAAAGTTTACCAAACGTAATGGAACTTCTTTACAAAGGTCATTACTTGATAGTTACATCAATCCTGCCCTTAAGGTAATAGATCCTCTTGGATTCTTCAATCCTGCTACTAACAATTTCCTTACCAAAGCAGAATAATAATTTATACCAGATTTAATCTTTCAATTGGAGTGCATATCAAATATTCTGTTGTTAATGGTGTAATGTTTTATGATGCTATAAGTGGTCGTGCTTATGAAAGATAGCAAACCAAATTTGTTTTTCTTGAATAATAACCTTATTGCCCAGATGATTTTGATGATTTTAGTGTTTATTCTGCAGGTTCCAGCACTTACTTTTGATCAGAGTAATTTTTCATTGTGGGGAAGTGGGGAGTGGTGGATGCTCCTTGCAGCTCAGAGTATGGCAGTTGGTACTGTCATGGTTCGCTGGGTTTCCAAGTATTCTGATCCTGTTATGGCAACTGGATGGGTATGTTCCTGCTTTAGAAAAATATCATAGAGCAAGTCATATTTATATCTTGATCTGGTGGGCTCTGTTTTGCAGCTCTCAACAGTAGGCAGTGGGCTAATTGCAAACATAGCATATAACTGATGTTAATAATACTCATATACATTCAAAATAGTTCTCAACATTAGGCAGTGGGATGCCACAATGAACTTCAACAAAATTTATGGGGTCATGGGACTAACGTGAAGGCTTACTTTTTGTAGCACATGGTAATTGGTGGTCTCCCTCTTGTGGTAATCTCCATCCTTGATCATGATCCTGTCTTTAGTGGGAGTCTTAAGGATTTCACATCAAGTGATATATTGGCACTTCTTTATACCTCTGTATTTGGTAGTGCTATCAGCTATGGTGTATACTTCTACAGTGCAACCAAAGGTTATTTTCTATACTGAAATTCAAATTCTTATTTTTGCTGTTTCAATGATTGAAGAGAATATGATTGTTATCATCATTCTTTTTCTCATACTCATCCTCATCTTCATTGTGATTATTGTAGGCTTGTTAATTGATCCGTTTCTGAAATCACATACAAATATAATAGCACCTAATTTTAATTTTGAGCTCTCCTGACAATTATAAATTGGGAATGAATTTCAGGTAGCTTGACAAAGCTCAGTTCCCTTACATTTCTAACACCAATGTTTGCATCAATCTTCGGGTAAGGAATTCCTATTAGACAAGTTTAGAAGAAATGAAAATGTTATAGTACTGTCTAGAATAATTTTTTCAAGAGAAACTACTTTACAAACTATAAGTTGAAGAAATCCTACAAGCTAAGTAATTTCTTAATGATACCACTATTGTAAAGTTTATATTTTGAGTCTTGTATCAAGTGATATGGCATTGATTTTAGAAGTGCTGAATGGATGACAAAGTAATATGGCAAATTGTCTTCAATCTTAATTAGTGCCATAGCTATCATTTGGGATTGTACAAACTTTTTAAGTGTGATTTGTCTATATTTTGGATTCATTCTTTTTTAATATTGAGGCTTGTATGCCACAGGTTTCTGTATCTTGGTGAGACCTTCTCACCATTGCAACTTGTTGGAGCCGTCGTTACTATAATTGCAATTTACATGGTTAACTATAGGGACAATGTTAAATAATGCATATGGTTGATATGGTGACACACAACATTTGAGCAGAGAGGAAAATGAACCTGTCAGAGAAGTTGGCTCACTGGTCTCTAGACTTTACCTCTTGACCAAGTCATGTATTTATTTGGAAAATAAGTTATAATCAAAGGAGAGAAAGAGGTAAAAAATGCATTGGAGCATGGCTGTTGATTACGAGTTATTGTTGCCAGTATAAATTGGGACCATTTTCACGGCTGGTTGAAAGTTTTTAACTCTTTAAGCTTTTTAGTAAAAATATTCTTGATGGCGATGATGGTTTAGCTGTTCCGCAAGCAAGTTGTGTTCTGCAATGCCATAAATTTCTCTAGTCTTCTGCGTTTGACAACATAAATTACTTATTGGATGTGTTTCTATCAATGATACAGAAAATGACTCCAGTTGGTGTATATCTGAAGGGCTATGAAAGGAGCGGATTATATTCACCTATGTTCATTTGTCTTGGATTTGGAAAATGTATATTTTCTTTACGGAATTTCATGCTATTAATCACAAGGAAGTCAACTGATACATATAACAACAGATTCAAAAAATTGTGAGACTGATGATTCAAGGAATTAATTATGTTAGACAAAATCAGCAATCGGAAGAAACAACAAATTTTCTTTGATTGAAATGAACAAGAACATGGTTGCGAGTTTGCAACATTCAAATCGTCCTCACCGTCCGCAATTGAAAATGAAAACTACAATTAAAATGTTAACTAGTTACGTTGAGGCAGCAGCTGAAACGATAGAAACTGTGTGGAGACTTTTACTGGCTCCAACTCCAGCTCTGCTTCGCCAAATTTCACCCTTCTGATAATTAGTGTCTCTCTTTCTACCACTCAATCCCTTTCAAGTTTCAGAAGAGAGATGCCTCCGGTCGTCCTCCATTGAGGTCCAGCGGTCGGTTGAGTCGGCTGAATTAGGTTCCCATGAAGAGGAAGAAAGATTCCAGTTTTGTTGAACACCACCCACATAGCTGTTGCTGCCTGATGATTCCTGCTCATCCAAATCTGCCCCTCCTAATGTGCCACCCCTCCTTACGGTCACATACTTATGAAAGCTTGGCTCTGTAAGATCATCACTTGCAAGCACCTCAGATTCTACAAAAGGGTCTTTACCCTCTGTCATTTTCTTTCCAACAAGAGAAATATTGTAGGTATCCTCAGAAAATGCACAAGATAGATTGGAGCTTGTGGTGGAATTGAGGTCGGCAACGGCTTCAAGGATGGAGCAGGCCTTGGTTACACAGGGTGGGAGTGAAAATGAAGGAGTAGTGTTATTCTGGTGAAAGTTTTGGATGTCTTCGAGTAATAATGCCGTATATGATGGTGTAGGATTCAACATTGTTTCCGGATTAAGGTCTAGGTCTCTAGATCGCCTAGAAGATCTACTTCTTGTTAAAGTTTGGGGCAGAGTAACGTTGTTATTTATTGGTACCTGAGCTTTAGCCTCTTCCTCGTCTCTGCTGCTGGCTTTGTAGTTAGTCCCTTGAGCAGCAATCTCCATATTTGGCTTCTGCATTGGAGCCTACATAGATTAAATTGAACAAAAAAATTGAGTTAAACCTGGTAACGGGAACTTTCAAATTTGGATCTAGTAAAGTAGAGAGAGATTAAGCAATACCTGAGAGAGAATATTGGTGGAGGAATCCTTGATTAAAAGAGCTTCTGCTGGAATATCTTTGCTTCTGGTTTGAAGTCTGTTGTTGTTGGTGTCGATTTCAGTCAAGGGGTTTCTTCTGAAAGGAGAATGCTCAGCTTTCCTTGAAGAAGTGCGACTAAGAGAGGGGTGTTGCTGACTATCATTTGAGATCTTCGCAGTTCTAGCTGGGGACTGTGAACGAGGTGAAGCAACATTTCTCTTTACAGAAATCCTCTTAATTGGTTCTACAACACCATTAATATTATTGTTTGTTTTTTCCACCACATTCACAGTAGCAGGAACTGAGACCATTTTTCCAGGCCTCGTAGTGCTAGTATTACTAGTGTTGTTTTCAGTTCTTCTACCAGGCGATCTGCTCACTCTTCTTCCACCACCACCTCTCTCTCTACTACCAGAACGTTGATGCTGTTGATCTCTTTCTCTACTGGGGGTCCTCCTCCTACCTTGAGAAGAAGAACGATGGCGATGGCGTTGTCTGTGCTGCCTCGTTTGATCTTCATCCTCACTACTTTTCTTCTCAACGACACCATCACTAGTTTCAATGTGATCGAAGTCATAACTTCTCTTAGAACCAGAGTACTTTCTGGCAGATGAAGAAGCTGCCTTCCCGGAGGAGTTACTTCGGCTAAGCCTTCCACACTGTATGAGAATGGCATCTACCTCTTCTTTGGTGCAGCTTGATGTCCTTACCACATTGTTAATGTTATTTCCCGTTTCCTCCTCCTCATCAACACCTTCATTCTGTTGAGGAAGAGAGCGTTTTTCATGGCTCTTCCTATGCTTTATCACAAATATTTCCTTCTTTACTAACCCTTCTTCTTCTTTTTCATTTTCTTCTCTTTCCTTCTTTGTGGTTTCTTGTTGCGGTATTACTTGTTCGCTTTTCTGAGACTTGTTTGGATCTACAGGCTGCACTGCAATCGACGAAGAAGAAGAAGACTCTTTCTTGCTGAAACAGCTACCCATGGCGGCTATGGAGAAACACGGAGAGATGATGATGAGTAAAGAGAAGATTGAGAAAGAGGGAATGAGTTTAATTTGAAGAGATAAGAAAACATTTCCCGAGAAAACATTTCAAAAACCAGAAAGAGAAAACATTTCAAATTTTGAGCGGCATGGCAGATCTATCCGTTGGAGAGACAGAGCCGTTGGATAAATCTAATCTAACGTCTCTCCCTCTCTCTCTGTAGTCCAATTCTTTTTCTTTTCTCTGCCTGAATTACATGTTTCCACCAAAGTTTGGCTCAGTATTTTTCCCACCTATAAACTTTGAAAAAATATAATTTCCCACCCATCATCAATTTCTATTAGTGAATTCTGTCATATGATAGCGGTACAAAAACAAAAACTATGGCTGCGTTTGGTTCAACATTTGGGGGTTTTGGGAAAAGTTTTTAGAAAAAAGTTAAAAAAAAGTTGAATTGGGCGGGTATTACGAGGTAAAATTTATAAATTAATAAAATCTCCTTTATGTTTGTTTTTTTACAAAATACCCCATATAATAAAACATTAAAAGTTAACAAAAATACCCCTAACCCACCCTCAAACACCCCCAGCCGGCGACCACCACCGGAGGTGGCCGGAGTCGCCGTATGGGCGCATGACCGGTTGGATCTTGCCGGTCATGCGTCGCTATGGCCTTTTCCGGCCAGATCCACGGTGGATCTGGCCGGAAAAGGCCAGATCTACGGTCAGATCTGGCCGTCAACGGCCAGATCTGGCCGTATTTGCTCTCAACGACGGCCAACAAACGGTCGTCGTTGATGGTCAACGACGACCGTTTGTTGGCCGTCGTGACCGAGTGTTACGGCCAAAGATCTGGCCGTCAACGGCCAGATCTTTGGCCTTAGATCTGGCCTTTTCCGGCCAGATCCACCGTGGATCTGGCCGGAAAAGGCTAGATCGGCGCACTGCCGGCCAGATTCAGCCGGTAGTGCGCCATTCTACCAGATTCCGGCCATTTTTCGGTGGTGGTGGCCGGAATCTGGTAAATGTGGATTATTGGGGTGTTTTTGTAATTTAAAAAAAAATATTTAGGGGTATTTAATTAAATTATCAAATTTAAGGGGTTTAAAAAAAGTTGAATAATTTTGGGAGTAGTATTCCCAAAAATCTGAATTTTTGGGTATTTTACTGTTTAACTTTTTTGGGAATACTAAAAGTAGCATTCCCAAATGTGAAACAAACGCAGCCTATAATACCCTTTACTGTTTGACTTTAAAAATTGTAATGAGGCCAAATAATATCCCCCCAAAACTTTATTATATGAATTTTCCACTCTTAGTTTGGTTATATTAATTTTAGGGTTTATAAATTTTTTTTTTAAATCAATCATTAAATTAAAAAAATATATTAAGAAAGTCACCAGAAACACCTGTCGTGAGTCGCGACAACGCAATCACACTTGGGTTGGTGCAATTTTTCCAAAATCGCACTTGGGTAAGTGCGATTTTGTTGGAATCACACCTAGGCTCGTGCGATTTAGGCCCCATCACACCTGACTTGGTGTGATTTCGGCCAAATTGCACAAGCCATGGTGCGATCAGCCTTAATTGCACTTGGCCATGTGAGATTTCAGCCAAATGAATCATTTTTCGGTTTTCAATTTTTTTTTCAAATTTTTATATATTTTCATAAGTTTTTATTTTATTACAATTTTTCAGTTTTTTTTTTTTCTCTTTTTTCGAAATTATATTTTTTTTTATAATTTCATAAAATATATAATTTGCAAAAATTATATTTTTATTGAGAAATTGTATTTTTTTTACTTTATAGATTATTACAAATGAAAAGTTTCTTGCATTTCTTTTTTTATAGAAACACAACTAATTTACGTGAGAGGACTGGGGTAAATAGTCTAAAAAATATGTGGATGTGGACATATATGTAATTTCATCGGTCAATCAGGGTCAAACCTCTATTTTAATGGTAGAAATTGAAAATAGGGGGTCTGTGTGACTAATTCCCAAGTTCATGAAGGAAAAGGATGTTTATATTTTAGGGGTGTAAACGATACTAACTGTATAATATCATTTTTGCACATTGACGAGAATGTCTTTTCACAATTAAAACTAACGTTTGATGTTAACGATGGGTGGAAAAATGTGTTTTTTTTTTTTTTTCAAAGTTTGTGGGTTCAAAATTACAGTCACTAAACTTCAGGTGGAAAATGTTATTCAACTTCTTTTCTCTTTATAAATTAATCTGATCGTCTTATCCTTTCATTTAAGTTTCTATAACGGACATATTTCATTCTGGTCTTTAAAAAGAAAAGGCACCCACCCTTCAAGTTCAATGAAAGTATAGATAAATTCAAGGGTTTAAAAACAGGTGAAATTATTAAGTCTAAATGTTATAATATAATTATTTTTTCATTCAAAATATAATTATCGTTAGCCTAGTCCGTTATTTAACATATAAAATATGGCAAAAAGGAACAAAAACCCTTTTATCTTATCTTAATATAAATACAATAAACAAAATATTAATTGGATATAACAAATATAAAAAAATATTTTTCATAAAAAATATCTTTTTATTCAACAAAATTACAATAATTTTTAAATTAGAGAAAAACGATTTTTTAGTACAAATTTTTTTTAATTATGTAATAGTTAAAAATAATAATATAAAAGATGCACTTGTTGTACGTTTTTATTATAATAATGTCACTACATTATAACGTTTTGGGTGCATTTGTTTTTGTATTTTGGATAGTATTTTCGAAAAAGTAAGAGTTGTGTGGTAATAACGAGGTAGAATTTGAAAATTAACAAAAACACTCCCCTAAGTTTGTTAATTTATAAACACCCTATAATACAAACAATAAAAATTATAAAAACACCCCCACCCACCCATTAAATATTGGCAGTTGGCCACCACCATCGATGGGTGGCTGAAGTCGTCGTATCGGCGTACGACCGGTTGGATCTGGCCAGTTGTGCAACGAAAGGGTTTTTTCCAACTAGATCCACTGTGGATCTAGCCATAAAATGCTAGATCTATGGCTAGATTTAGCCATGAGGGCCAGATTTAGCCGCGTTTGGTCATCAATGATGACTACCTACGACCAATGATCTGGCCGTCAATAGCAAAATCTTTGGCTGTAGATCTAGCTTTTTTCGGGCGGATCCACGTGGATCTGGCCAGAAAATGCTATATCGGTACACTACCGACTAGATCCAGCCGGTAGTGTGTCATTATACTAGATTTTGGCCACCTTCTGACGGTGGTGGTCAGAATCTGGCAAATGTAGGTGGATGAGATTGTTTTTGTCAATTTCTAAACTTTTTTTAGGGGTGTTTAGTTAAATTAACAAACTTTGGGGGGTTTAAATAGTTTAATAAAATATAATAATATTTTCAGAATAAGGAAACAAATGTTTATTTTGGAAATGATAGGAATAGATAGTGCAAAAATAGGGAAACAAACGCACCCTTGGTTTATAATGTCACTTGTTTAAACTAACTGTCACTTACACTAAATCTAAAGGGTGTTTTTGTTTTAAAATCTCACATTCTATGGCGAAGTAGGTTTTTTTTATATTTAAAGTGCACCTGTGATTTTGAAAATTACATGCATCTTTAGCTTATCATTAATCTCTTGAAATTATTATGTACGTCCTAATGTTATTATTTATCTTTTAAAAAGGGAATACAATACTTGTAAAAAATTGTGGGTATGCTTTAAGCTAGCCCATCTGTTAGGAGATGGATAAGAGTAATACTACGCTATCACAAACCTCTCTTACAACCCTAACGTGTCAACATATTAGCACTGTCATTTCACCTCCCACACACCTCACCACACCCAAGGCATCAAGCACTATGAGAAACAAACGGTCGTTCTTGGAGAAGGAACGACTATCCCCTATGAAGGAAAGGTTGTTCCTTCATAAGGAACGGTTGTATCTTATGAAGGAACAACCATTCCTTCAAGGAACAACTATTCCTTCTTCTTCTTCTCTCTTCTCTTCTTCTTCTCTCATCTATTCTTTCTTCTCTGCTTCTTCTTCTTTTTCTTCTTCTCTCTTTTATTCTCTCTTCTTCTTCTTCTTCTTCTTCTCTTCCTCCCCCTCGTCTTCCTCTTGATGAGAAACGACCATTCCTTTCGTAAGAAACAACCATTCCTTCCGTAAGAAACGACCATACCTTTATAAGGAATGACCGTTCCCTATGAAAGGAACAGTCATTTCTTTGGTCTAATTAAAATCATTTCCGTGTTAAAACTATCATGACAGTGTTAGGTCAAGTGCCATGTTAGCATTGTGAGAAGGAGTTGTTGGCGTAGCATTATTTGATGGATAATATTGCAATTTATGTATCATGGTCATGGGTTTACAACTATTTGGCCCTTCAATTTTGAACAAACTAACGGTTTAACTAAAGGTTCCAAATAGTGACACTTTTAATGTTGACGTTTTCAACAAGTGATAATTTCACCGAAAAAAGATAGTTGACGTTATAAGTTTCATTTATTGACACAAGTCAGTGGTAGAAGACAAAAAAATACTCTTTTTGTTTCACATCTCATCCAAAAATAGTTAAAATTCATCTTTAGGTTTTAAAAGTGATGTTATACTTAAGTTTACATCAGCGAGTACCAATCAGAGTTTAGGCTATCACATCTGTCACCAACCTAGCAGGCTCAAGTTTTGTTTGTGAATGAATGTGGTCTGCACACCTATCCAATCCCTATATAATTTAAGGATATTTCTTAAGTTATCAGCCAATGAGACGCAAGATAGGACTTGCACGGTACCTATTCACTTGCAAACTTGTAATCATCACTTTGAACTCAGGGGATATAAATAGAGGACTCCCCCTTGCAAAATCGGGATGAATGAATGACCATACTTTCTGAATTCAACAAAACAAATAGCAATGACAACTTACGGGAAAGAAACAGGTTTAATATTCTCTCTAAATACCAAGCTCTTGTAATTATGTTCGCTATTTGCGACCCCTTGTAAACTTGGCTAATCACCAAGAACACTCATATAAAAGAAAATAATAGATATAAGTATC